TATGACATGTGCTTCAACAAAACAGGCCTGTCAAATGTGCATTTAATGTGCGTTTCACAGTAAATTTGCACAACTATTGCACCCTTGGCACATCATTTTCAGATTCTGCCGCTGATTGTTCTATAACAGTATTGTAATGACTATGTTTACTTACTTCATAACTTTAGTATACATTTTCCACTAATTTTAGTGCACCAGCTTCTTCGAAATCCGACATCTTCCTTGTTTTTTCATTTTTTGTATTGTACGTGAATTTTACCGAAAACGACATGAAATAAATTAAGCAATAATAGTAATTATCAATGTTATGACGTCATTAATGTCAAAACAACATTATACGCAATGAAAACTAATAATTTTCCAACTACACTAAAAACCAGACACACAAATTTTACTTACGTCAGTAGTCGCGCAGAGTAGTNGTGAGCCAGAGAACCCAATTCCCTACTACTGCGCAGTGAGCAATTTGCCGCAAAACGTGACATACGTTCAACAATCGTTCTCTATTGCGGTCACCTGCGCACTAAATTTCTTCTAATTTCTAATACATGGAGGTGAAGTATGGGGAGGCAGCTACTGAAACGCTTGACTTTAACAAACGCATCGTGTAGAAAATAACTCGATTTTTTTACCGAGGGCGGCAAAATGCTCATAGCGCGAGCACTCTAGGGGTTAGTAGTAGTTTCGCACGATTTTCCTTCGCACGAATGTGCGAAACGTCCCCTTTCAATAATATTTTTTCTAGTAGGCATTTCGCCCGGATGTATTAAAAGTATTCAAATCGCGTGCGAATCGACTCTTTTTTTCAACTAGTAGTATGCGATTACTAGTTCTCAAAAGGGTCAATTCGCACCCGTTTTTAATACTTTTGATAGATCCGGGCGAAATGCCTACTAAAAAAAAATATTATTGAAAGGGGACGTTTCGCACATTCGTGCGAAGGAAAATCGTGCGGAACTACTACTAACCCAAAAATAATTATCATAATAGCATATAACAACAACTAGAGTTAATTTTATTGCCAGTGTTGTATATTCCACAACTTAGTTTCTTCGTATATCTGTGATATTGAATTTCATAATAGCCGCATAAATGAATAATGATTACGTATAAACGACCCGGAATGTTTATGACATCACTATGATGAGACTTATTGAGATATGAATTTCATAAAAGGAGACCAATTTCCGGATGCTTTCAAGTAAATCTTGGTGAGTCGTTGCTATGATATTATGATTACTTATATTTATTTCACTTGATGCATTTCATAAAACAAATAGGTATGCGTTGTTGTTAGTTTATTTATCTTATATTTTTGTTTTAATAAAACTTAACAATAAGCACATAATAAAGTAATAAGTGTCTGTGATAAAATTCTATTTATTTTCTTCTAATTCCACATTTTTCGTAGACCTCGATCTGAATATAAAAGTTTTTAAAGATACCATCATTATTTTCTACTTTTAAAGTCTTTTTACGCTTAGTGTGCAAATAAATACAATTCAAGTTGATTTTGACTTTAGGAACATGAGTCTTTAGTCTTAATTGAAAAATTGCCCATATCCGTCTTCCTCGTACAATGTATAATCACATTGGCAAATTTCTCGTAAGGTCTGATGGAATTGAGTTATTCCCTTGTATCAGCGTAATTCAATTTATAATTTAATCTAACCTACAATGGCGGCCATGATGAAGTTTTGGTCGTAATATTGCGCGGGGAAATGAGTGAAAGAAAAAAAAATGCTATTTACTTTTGTTTGTGGAATTGAAAAGGGGCCTTTTGTTACACATTTTAGATTTTTTTGTACAGATTTTGGCAATTTATACAACCGTGGGGTGAAATGCCCTACTTTTGTCTGTACACTAAAATGAGGGCAAAGAAGCGTTCAATAGATTAACTGGAAAAGCTTTCTTGAACATAAATCCTAGTAAGGTGAGTATGTGATCAAAAGAACTAACTAAAGTATCAAATAATGGGTTGCCAAACCAAAGCTAGGCCAACTAGCACCAGATCTTAAATGAATATTAAACTACTCCATCAAATATAACAATTCCATGATCTAGGTGCGTGCAAATCTCACATTTTTCTTATTATTTTAAGAAACTGTACAAATCACTTCGTTGTTCGTGTAATTATATCGTTCAACAACTGTTGGATACAATCAACAAAAGCCGTAACGTATTACATACTACTTAACCCGTAAATGATCGGTTACTACTGTGTAACAATGTTGCTATGTTGTAACTGTTGCTAAAATAGCATTACAATAGCGACAGACTGCAGTTACAATAGGTTGTGCACATCGCACAAAGAACGGGCGGAAAATAAAAAACATGAGCGGAGTGAGCGCGTAGAATATTCTTTATACGTAAAAAAATCCTTTTGGGTAATATAAAATTATCATATCTTTTAAGTGCAGAAGGATCTAATAAAATTGTAATACATTTGGTATTATGTATGCAACTAAGCGAAATAATCCTGATCTCAAATCAATTTATAACCTTCTACACATATCATGGAAGTATAGTGTTTGATTACTTATTATGTTTTTTTTTATTATTATTATTTTAAATTATGTTGAATTTTTTATATTATTATTTTATTTTTCCATAAAATAATCACCCAATTCTTTTCTAATCCAAATCTCAGTACCAACGAAATTACATATTAAATTACAACTCATTGACTCAACGGCTATAAAAATGACGCTTACAAATTTTAACTAAGATATAGAAATAGCCCGAAAGAAAAGTAAACTAGGCAGAGTTAATGGACTTGCCGACTGAGCAAAAACAGAAGGTGGTTTGGTTAAAATAAACTATGCTCTAGTCCGCCAGAAAATACCCGTGAATCCCAAACATTTCAGATTGTTTATGTTTTTTGGCACTTTTCATAGAATTCTGCTTAACAAAGATCTCGGCAGCTCATTGGAAGGGTTAACGGTAAACTTATTTAACAATTTTAGCTATTTTTAAAGTTTATAAATTTATTTTTAACGAGAATGTTAACAGAGCTATCTATATTCACCCAGGGTCGGGGCATCTATTCAGTTTAACTACTTATATTTCGTCTTATTCCTGTTTTGTCTTCGCATTTACCTTTGTATGACAATTCTTTTTTATTTGACTCCTCATAAGCATCTTTGTTTACTAAGAGAGTGTGATAACACACTCTTACACTATTTTACTCAAATTGCTTAGGTACTGTCTTTTTCAGAATATCATAAAAACACTCTAGCTGGCTCTATCATGCGTCTTTAACTTTTAAATCAAAACTTTTTGAGTTTAATTGTACCTAGGTGCATTCCATTAAAAACCATGTAGCTAAAATAATTTTTGAAAGAAAAAATCGTAAAAAATGCGTAAAATAGAGTAAACAAAAAGAAATCATTATGTTAATTTGAACATGAATTAATGCAGCCGTCAGATTAGATACTTTGGGAGCTGTTTTGTGTCTAATTTTTGCAGGAAGATGTTAGTCTAGATCGTTGGATCGCTCATTAATTCACGAATTTGTTTAAAAATTACTGAAAAGATTAATGTCTCGACTACGTTATTATAATCGTTCTATAACTGTTTCAACACACATAATTTGTAGCAAAATTTAACCCTCGCTGTACGAGGTGGGGTGTGACACACCCCAGTCCTTTAAAAATAGCCACAATTTTAAAAATTTGCAAGTGCTGAATTTGAAATTCTCAGTAGCTGGAATTATGACACTGTTGCTTCGATCAGCGTTGCAAAATCAGTCCAGCGGTGACTACCAACTGAGTTACATGCCTTTAAAGTGCGTGTGGGTGTCACACACCCCACCTGGTACGGGACGTTGTTAAAAAGTTTAAAAAAAAATCTAACAGTTTTGGTGTAATTTATATATTTTTAGCTTTGTCAATTGAATAAAATTCAATACAAATATTATTTTTCGTGATTTTTACGGTATCTAAAATTTTCAAGCACTTTTAGTCAAATGAGATGACTTTTAGTGCGAATCTGGAAGTTTAGTACTGAGATCCGAAGATGTATGTGAACATACACTTATGGGCTACAATTTATACTTGGTGATACAATTTATGGGCTACTGAAATGGAATAACATATTTTATAAATAAATAAAATTGTTACGCTCCCATTTTATGCATTGAGCATACTCATTTTCTTTCATCAGAATTGTGGTAAATTGAAAACCGATGATCAAAACAAATTTATACCCTTCCAGTTTTTAATTTACTTTTAAATTATAAGTAAATACTTGTACTTTGTTAAATAAAAACGGTTGTCATAATTAAAGGCACTAATTAAAAATTATACATAGGAAACTGATTCCTAAATTACAAGAACAACGGAAATTGTGTCTTTTTGTTTTTTTATGATAAAAATGTTATAATACATATTTTCAGCTCAGAGCATTTCTTAAACCTAATTAGCATAGGTAAATAATCAATATTAAATATTAAATTCCACCTCAAAAAATGTTGAATGAAAATTTTATCACTTTGTATATTGGGGTGTGTCATACCCCACCTGGTACGGGACGTAACTTTTAGTCACCTCGTACACGGAGGGTTAAACCCTAGCATGAGTTACGGTGTGTACCATAGTAAAGTTATAAACAGATGTTAAACACTGGGAAAAGCTTTAATTTGATGAAGTTTTGTTTTGTACTAAATAAAGTACAAACCACAACACACTGAATTCTGTTAACTTTAATAGTAAGGAGTAAGCAATAAAAGTGTACATAATGCATTTACTTTTACAATATTTTTTTGTTGCAAAGTAGGTAGCCTTTTTTACTACAAGTTAAGACACCACTGTATCTAGCTTGATTTTTTTATGGGACAGGAGGCAAACCAGCAGACGGATCACCTGATGGTAAGTGATTACCGTCGCCCAAAGTCACCCGTAGTCCCGTGGGCGTTACAAATGCGTTGCCGATATTCTATCATCCACACATTACTAATTATTGTTATCGTAGAATTGAATTAAAAAAAAGCTGGTACTCACTTAAGAAAAACTTTCCCTTCAGCCCCGTAATGTCATTCTGCGGCTTTGGCTGAACGGATTTGGTGACGTTGTGCTCGTCTGTCACCGTCACGTTATCAGGCTGGAAGACATGCCGGCAGATCTCCCACACTCCCGAGTCGCTGTACATGAGGTACCTGCCTTTTTTGGGCAGATATACACCTGGAAGCAAAATAAATTATGTTTATCTTTATACACAGGGTTTTGAAGAAACAGTTTGCAGCAAAATGATTCATATAAATAGGGATTTCAAAAAACTACTTCACAATCATATGATTAAAGAGAAAAAGACATGCAAAGTAATCGTTACGCAGGTAATTCACTGAAAATCAGTTTCGAGAAGATAACTAACCCTAGTGTAAATTTTTACCGGCCTCTACGTGGTGATTGCCTATTAAATCAGTATTAGCGGAATATCTGATCTACATCTCTCACTCAGTTCGATGTTTTATCATGAGTGACAGCGACAAATAGATCTATTTGTTACACCGAAGCTATTAAGTCCTCCAAAAGACAAGCCATTATCCAAAGACAATCGCGATTACCAGAAACATTATACTAGGTCGCACCTGGAAATAATTGACAGTGTTAATGATCCCAATGCTCACTTGGAGCCAAGCCAGATTGTTTGCAAGTAATTAATATAATAACGACCGTGGAGCCACGCTTGCGAGAATGCCAAGTTTTAAATCTTTTCTGCCTGAAGTGTGCGTCCGAAGTTTGTGACTCGAAAATTGATGTCAATTGTATTCACAATCCTGTGTTTACGATGAACAGATTCAGCAAATTATTAGATTTATTGCCTTGGGCAACTAAAAATACGAAATTATTTCAGTCGCAACACGTTCTGCTTTGTACCAAAAATATCTACTTTTACAAATATTTCTGGTGATACAATTTACTTTCAAATTTATTTATAAAACGACAAACAGTACATCAAGCTAATATTGTGGCAAATCGGATGGTAATAGGTACTCGTAAAGAGCAATAATAATGGGTAATCTGATGTCCTGTCGACAGTACAAGAGTACAACACATTTTGTTCAGTTTTTCGTAACCGTACCTTGATTTATGTATTTTGAAGATAGCCATATTATCAAGAACATAGGTTACAAGAGCGATCAAATTTATTGTTCTACTGCGAACATCTTCTGCTTTCGGGAAGTCTGAATAATACAACAATACTACGAGTATAATGGATTCCACAGTAAATACATAAAGATGTTTTAGTACTGTACTACTCATCGCTATCGTCTCAAAACAGTAGCATTTGGGCGCAAAAACTTGGCGCTCCACTTACAATGCCAAAAGCCGTGGCGGACACTTTCGTCGCCAGTTAATCTAACGTGGAGCCGCACACGGTCTAATTACAGAACACTTTCCCGACTGGAACCAGACACTGTCCACATTACACGGATGACTCACCGTGTCTTCAGCATTTAAATATTAGACGAATATTCGGGAAGGAAACACCTTAATTGAATCGTTTATAGAACGTCTCACTCGGACACCTCATGTCATGGTGACGTCGTGATGATTAGAATATTATGATTTTGCTTTGAGAGAAAAATTTGCTTGAAAGAAAGATTGTTTAGACCGGGCTTTTTATGCCATTAGGGAATAGTTATTTTCAAAAATAATGGTAATTGTTGGTAGGTACATAAAAATTTTAACGTGAAAAAGATTTAAATAAAACAAAATACGTTATAAGCTTTACAAAGGTCAGATAGACAGTCTGGCCATTTCTCATAATGTGGCAAATATTCATAAAAGTCATAATCATAACCAAAATAATTGCTTCTAGAATCTACACATACCGTATCTATTGATTTATTATTACACGTGCCCCTAAACCTGTCAGACCAAATTCTTTCAGTAATTTATATGAAGGGCCAATGCAATAATTACACATATATTTTACGCATCGTTTAAACAATAGCTTTAATCCTATACTATTCTACGAATGCCAGACGATTAGCATTTGGGTGAGCTTGTGATGACATTTTTGGCTAGCCAATAATGCAGTTTGTTCTATACTACGCACTACTTTCATGGACAGAAATAGACGAGGCGGGCGTTGAACTCAATGCCACATGGGTTTAATTAATAACCCATGTGAAGCATGAAATTAGTTTTGGATTGTTCGAATATATCTTTAAGTCGTAGTTAATCGTCAGTTAATTAAAATATGATATTGCTGTTATGTTTATTGTGCTGTTGGCGTTTTGTTGTCTGATTCATTATGAAATAGAGCTTTGATTTCTATAAGATGCCGATTTTTCTTCTGTAGTAAGTTGTAATTGATCTTATTTCATCTCTAAATCTCTTCAACATTATACAGGATGTCCCAAAAAGAGCGTGCCAAGCTTTTAAGGAGATATAGAAGATAGTCATCAATTAGTCTAAAATTTTCTTTCTTTTTTTTTTTTTTAAATAAATAAATAAATCTTTATTAATTTCTTCACAAGTAAGTTTCCAATTACATTTAGGATATACTAACAATAAACCGCATTTTTTAAACAATATTACTTATTGTGAAGACTGGTGCTTGATATGGGTTGGTAGGTTTCTTAGGTTTGGCACGCTCTTTTTTGGACACCCTGTGTGTATATTTTATGGTATTCACATTAAAATTGCTGTATTCATTTCAAAATAGTTTTCAGGCATTCTTTTGCGTAAAAGAGTCATTGTTTTTCTCATGTTTATAAATACGAAATGACCTTGCATTACCCTGTGTTTATACCCAATTCCCCTATCTCATCTTATTGTTCATGTTTGTGTGAGATAAACAATCACACTCAAATAAGCTTTGGTGCTATTCGAATAATCTAACTTCTTATCTTAAGTCTTGTGGTCTCGTAAAGTCTACAGTCTAGACTTGTACTACGAAACAGATAGGAACAGAAGACTGTCACCTGTATGTACTTCATTTTTCTTACGCACACAGATGTCTCAAACGGGCGGTATTCCCGCTCGCAATGGTTTAGACTGGTTTGCGACACTTCGCCCGTGTCGTGTCTCTGAGCGTTGTTTGTGTGTGCGTTATCCGAGATTATTTTGTATGTAGATTGTCTTCTGTTCCTATCTATTTTGTGCTTGTACTTTGTTAGAAAGTACTGACAATAGCACATCAGAAAAACAGTTTCGTTGGAAAATAGTACCTGTTACAACTACATAAGATATACCCGTCTTTCGCTTGTTAAGTCTGTACACAGTATTTTTGTCAAACTATTTGTCGGTCTCATTGCTGCAACTCACACGCATATAAAATAACGTAAACAGATGGCGCTATTCGGGTTTATAAATAACCGTTTCATGAAGTCTTTATGGTGTTAACTGGCGATAAAATCTAAAACTGGTGCACACACCGATGTTATTCATAAATAAATTGTGAGTACTATAATACTAGGCCGTGAATCTTTTTGACTGAAGAACGTTGTGTGATTCTATTTAGTGCTTTAAAATTGCGTAAGGTTTTGGAGCATGTAACTAGCACTGTTGTTAAATGTTTGCTTTTTAAAAACAGTACCAGAGATTAAACATGAAAAATCAACAAGTTTATCGAAAATGAATCGTCCAAGAAAGCAAAGAGAACGGTGTAATGTGGTCACTTTTCTGCAAATTAAATTATTACAGATCCATTTTTTCTGTGCTCATAATAGCATGTGATTTATACAGTACAATAAGCAAAGCATTCGGTACCTATGAATCCTCTCCCTTAACACTACAGTAAAAGCTACGATCGTAACACTTTATAAAAGACAAAATAATATAATAACTTACCATTTCCTCCTTCTATATGGACCCACTTCTCTGTGCAAACGGCTGTGATCCACACAAAAGTACACAAGCCTATCAGCACGGTACAGGCGAAGAGTATGCGTCTCTCCAGCAGCAAGGCTTGCATCAGTGGGCGCCTCTCGGCAGCGCCCACTGATGATGCCGTTGACATCTTATCCGTCTCCATCATCATTTGATCTGAAACCAAAGGGAAATGATGTTAGTGATGAAATAGCTTCAAGAACAATCGTGTGCTGCAGTTTGAAATTCACGGATGACAAAACTATTTAAAAAATACATTGAGAGAAATTCAAAAGAACTGGTTTTAAAAATATTTTTTTTTTGTGTTTCTACTAGGGCACTATTTAAGTTGTGAGCCTCGACAACATAACGTGTTGTTAGACGACATCTGATACTTTTAATGAAAAGTTTGACAATTTTGACTACAACCTTATTCAAAACTTTTTATCATTTGAGCACGTTTTGTATTATTAACATTGAATTGAAAATTATCTTGACTACAAAAACATGGAATTGACTTGCGGAAATTTTCGCGCGAAGATTTATTATGACTTTCGACGTGGTTAATCAATACAAAACTGAAGCGGTCAGCTAAATTTCACTTTTGGTGATAAAGATCTGTCCTTTACCATTGTAAAACGCTAGTTTAAGAAGTATAATATTGTATGTCATTGGCTCACCAGTGAACTTTGCGAAAGTCGTCCAAAATGACTAATAGTGGCGGAAAACATTGATGTTGTCAGAAAAATGGAAGAGAAACCTCGTCATGTGATATATCGTAGGATTGAGATAATCCTAGGCATTAATTCCACTAGCAGTAATAAAATATTGTATGACCATATTATGGTAAATACGTTTTTTTCTCGCTGGATGTCACAAAATTTTTGAAACGCTCAATAGGACGCTTGTGTCGTTTAGTCCTTGGAAATGTTTGATAAATACGTTTAAAAAGCTTTAAAAGCCGTTTTTAAAATTGTGACAGTTGACGAATTAAGGATCTATGCATAATGATCCTGAAAATAAACAGCTATCGACTATGGAGGTGTTTTAAGATGAACCAATTCCAACAAAAGTCCCATGCGCTCGGAACTCTTTGAAACTTACGGTCGCCTATTTTTCCGAAATATCCGATTATATGACAGAAACGTCACTAGAGAAATTTAGAATGGTTAATTCTTAATAGTAAACAGCCACTTTTTTCCAAAAGTCTTCAGTTTAATAAGGGAAACTGGCCAGCATAGTCGAATTGCCATTCGTGACGAAAATGTGAGCTTTTACACGTCTCGTCAAACAACTGACTATTTGAACACTCAAAATATGAAATAAACAGGTCCAATGCTACAAAATTCTTGCTTGGAATCTAAACACTTCTTTTGGTACCCATTATATTAAAATTAAATGCGTGAACAGCGATTTATGTAGCCAGAAGCAACTGTCGGTGCGGTCAAAAACCATGCTTTGGACGTGCCTCAATCTGAGTGGAAAAAATGCTATGAAAAGTGTTTCGGACACATTAAAAAGTGCATAAATCATGAAAGACAATACCAATAAACGCAATCAATACCATTTTAATAATATACTACTTTGTTTTCATAGTTAGGCTCACAACTTAAATAGTGTCCCACGTATTACAATAATTAAGATCTGCAAACGTCGTGACACCACAGTCATCAAGCAAGCAAGGCACATATTGTGGCATATTGCAACAAAAATGTGTACTTTGATGTACTGTTGACAGTACATTTTACATCACAAAGATGTTAATTACATAGTAGGTATTAGGGTGGTCCTTATTTTTCGACTTTTGAATTCTCCCCGGGGCACTTTCTCATTCGATTATATACCTCTAAATATGAAATTAGGTTTTTTTTTTTTTTTTTTTGGTTAAGATTTAGAGGTCGCTACCAGCTGTCAAAATATTTACAAAAGCTTTGAAGATCTTAAATCATGGTTTCATAAATGTTTTATTTAAGTGTTTATATCACATTTTAGGTGCAAATGAACATCGCATAGATGAAATAGACAGTCGCTTCTTGTCCCCTTCTCCCCTCAACCCCTCTTCTGTACCGACCATGGTACCGACGCGTCGAGATACTAACAAGTAAACTCTTATATCTTAAAAATAATTGATTCAAATAATGTATATTGTACATAATATCTTAGTTCATAGCAACAACAATAATTTTGTAACATTTTTATTTGGCTTTGGCTAAAAATAAATGAATCTAACAAATACAGATTTTGTGTTTTTACTTAAAATTCAAACCTTGGTAGCGACCCCTAAATGTCTTTTAAAAATTAAAAAAAAAATAATGAAAGACTTTCATATGGTATATATTCAAATTACGTGGTGCCCCGCAAAATATAAGAAAAAAAATTTTTTTCATAGGAATAAGGACCACCCTAGTAGGTATGTAATTATAAACCATTTTTGTTTGATCTCGACTAGAATTTGTGAAAATATGCAACGCAAACTTCTGGACGATGTTCCCATTTATCACTTAGTTAATAAGATGATATTTCTCTTTAACAAACGCGATAAATATTAATTCAGATCTGTTTAAAAAAACTTAATTTATTGTCCGAACGCCGCCGCCGACGGAGTTTTGTTCGTAACATTTTATTTTTAGTGTATTTACTCAATGTCATGGGCGTTTCATGGCCGAAAATCACTGAAAAATTCTGGTTCGAAAACAAAGACAAGCTTTTTGTGTGAAAATAACGAGGTTTTGCATGTTTTGGCAGGCGTTATGTTAACAGTGACATCACGCGCAATCCGTTATATAATTTGTTACACAAGGTTTCACATTATTTAACTGAAACGTTTTTCATAAATCACAGCATTAAAATTTGATTTTAGTATCATCATAACCTAAGATTTTGCGGACCGTCTACGTCACTGAAAGACGTTAACTTTTATTCCAGCATTTCCAGTGTCCTTCTCTTTTTATTGTTTCCCGTCTGAGTGAGAACACAGGAAAAGTTACTATTCGTACGTCATGTGACGTCACGTTACGGTTACGACCAAGTGGATGTACCAAAATATAGTTCTAGAGATAAGAGAGGGATTAATCTGCAAATCGATTTCGCACATGGATTTAATTGACTCTTGGAGGATTCCAGAAACTCTATGAGTGTGTGATTTCAGAAAAAATAAAGTAATACTGTACATTCGCTAGAAGATAACAATAAAATCATGTATAAGAGCTTTTAAAAGTTTTTTTTTTCAAAAAGAGGAATTTTTATTTGTAAACAACATCTTGAAAGTCGAATTTTGATGCGTTTCTGATACAAAGGAAGTTAATCATTAGAAGTAGGTATAGTTAATTAATTTTACTAAGCAATCACTTGACATCTTTTCTATGAATGCAAATGAATGCATTGCCTGCCAGTGTTCAGCTTGATCTGCCTTAGTCTATAGTACTACAATCTTTAAAGTGGAAGATGACCTACTTGGCTGTGACGTCACAGGTTTACGATCTCATGCTAATAAGTATGACGTCGTTTATGTTAATGCCTCCTAGTAAAACTGTAATCGCATATAATTTCGCTTGCATTTTCAATAGAATGGACATAACTTTTCAACGTACTGACGTACGCAATAATGTTGCTGCATTATGCCTTTAAAATAGAGTAGGTAATATGTTTTGATCATTTGATGCAAACGAGTAGGTATGTTATCATCCATCAAAGAAAAGGAAAATCGGTATCATTCTTTGCATAACTTGCCCTAATTTGTCTCTTAATAGCTCCACAGCTACCTACCTACCACTAGTTAACGATGGAGGAATGGTATTTTCTGATATTTTATTGAGCGAGTGTTCGGATCGCAAAATTTAGTACGAATTTATACACCGATCGCTATAATAAAACACGGCATACTTTAAATTGACATTTCCTTACATAGAGACATCGCCAACTTCTTTCAGTTGTTTCAGTTAAGCATGGGTAAAAAGATTTATAAAATTAGAAAACATTAAGGTTTAATTTGAAGACTCTTCCACAAAATAAAAAAATACTTGTACTTTACACAAAAACAAAATCAACAGTCAAATAAATTATCATCTCAATTGAGTATGAGCTATAAGTCAATAACTATGTTTTAACATAGTTATTTTTCTACCCTCATGACTTATAGCTCATACTCATTTGACATAAAGTCAATATAATTATCGAATAATTAAATTGGTACTAAACTGCAGTGGACCATGTTTACAATATTGGTAATCTCTTAGGTATTATTTTTATTTTAGGCTTAAAATAAAGCGACTACTCGTTATAGGTATTTAAAGGTTGAAATTAACCAGATTGGTATGATTTCACACAAACATAACTGTAGCATCATTATCAGAATGAATCAATGTTCTCAGAAAAATCTAAAAGTAGAGATTGATTAGTTGTACAACAAAAAATAATAGTTACCTTTAGCGAAAACACAAACAATATCTGTTGGAACATTATCTTTTCGTTTGGTCATTTGATACATGCGTCATAATTAGAAGATAGCATAATATCGTGACCCCAAACTCATCTACAAATGACATAATAAGTTGAGTTATTTTTCCATAGAGTCAGTGCCTTGCTCCGCATAAAATATTCTTTAGATACTTACGAGAAAAATATGTTTTGGATATGTGAGAATTTTCCCTACAAATTAATATATACAAACCTCAGAAGTAAATAAGTACGACGCAACATTATATTTGCGATAAGTATACTTACCAACTTAATCTTAATAGGTAAATAATGCAACAAAAAGTACGAGCAACATGAAGAACTATGAACTACTCATAATAAGGTAATAGTTACATCCACAAAAATAGCTTAGCTTGCGATTGGTCTAGATATTCAAATTCAACAATCGAAAAGCGGAATCAATAGGATTTGTAGAATCATTGCCTGTAATTGATATTTTTGTACTTTAATTTGGTAAGGAGTTAAAAGGGTTGTCATTTCCTTTATTGAATTATAGCTTAGCAAGGGAAAAATACTGGCCAAAAGATAACGAGATGATTTCGCTATAATTGTATTTAGATACTCCCTTTTCTTGTGTAATTGCTCATTTGTTATTATCAACAGGAAACTAGTAGGATTCTTTGTGTTTGTTTTATGGTTCGTTTCTGCCATACAAACTACTTAAATAATGTACGTAAACATTTTATTTTACAATTATAAAC